CCAATTTTTTAAATAGATGTAGTCTTTTGTAATAATACCAATTTTTAGGCCAATGTTGTTTTAATATTTATATTCAATGCGAACATCCTAAAATCATATTTTTCATTTTGGTTTTTTCCAAAAAATAGTGAGAACAAAAGGAAACTTTTATGACATAAACTTTGCTTTAATAGAAGTTAACTGGAGAAGCCTCTTTACAAGTACTGTCATTCATTGTCGGACACGAAATAATAGTACCATATTAGCAGATAATCATTTTGACAATCTCAGGGTAAGTGTAGTGACCAGGATTTTTTTTTAAATTGAACAGGCGTTCGATGTACTTGTCTCATAAGTCTTTTTTTTTTAATGGAAGCGTTATTTTTTTTCTCAAAGGACATGTCTACTAATCAGAAACCAATTGCCAGATTCTTAAATGAGATTTAAAGTATACTTGTTTATATAATTTCTTGGGTTAGAGTGCTTCGAGTGTCCGAAGAAGCAATAGTGATTGATAATGAGATTGTTAACGTCAAATTTTAATATTTCCTGCACATTCAGAACTTGAAAAAACGTATGCTTTTTTTTTAAAAAGACATATTAAGGCGAAGCAGTTTGTCCGTGCTTTTAATTATTACTTTGGCAACTAATATTAATCTTTTGTAGGGGGAGGCGGACATGTTTTTTTAAACCAATATTAATTGTTTTGATTCTGAATTTCTTACAAAAAAATGTTTCAGAAGGAAATTGAAAAAATATAAGTTTGTTTCACTTGTAAATTAGGGGAAAGTGAATAAGTATGACATTGAGTTTCTTTAAATAAAAAAAATCTTGTTCGTGTATGTTTTTGGTGAGAGAAAAAAAACGGTCGTTTTTTAAGAAAGTCGAAAACATGTTTGTCCCGGGCAAAAAGAAGTCTGAAAATGTTGATAAGGCTAGCATTATACATTAAAGGTTTGGTAGGTATCTCTCACTGTATAACCCTGAAAGATAAACAAATTGAAAATAATCGGGACATAAAATGTCTTTAATCCGTATACACGCCCAAATATAAGTGATTGTAAATAGACAAATTCTCTCTACATAATATGATTCACATAATTTTTTTCTTACTAAATTCATCATTAAAGTGGTTGTCTTCCTTCCTTGTGTCTTGATATTCAAAGTAGTTTGCATGCACAAAAAACCTGACAAAATAGTTTCCATTTCCCTTTTTGTATGGTCTCCTTTGATGGTCCTGTTCCGTTAACTCCTTCTTATGATATGTTCAAAGCTTATATATATATATATATATATATATATATATTAGGTTTTGAATTTTCAAATATTTTGGCCTCGGGAATCACTGAAGACACACTAATAATCGGAATGGTCGTTGAGTCCAGTAAAATTAGTACCGGCCATTGTCATTATGAGTACATACTAGTATACGTGATTGCTGCCTATAGTGGCGCCTTCAAATTCACATTCCTGTAAATTTTTAATTTACAAAAAATATTTTACAATAGCAATACAGCTTTCATGGTCATTTTGTTTTCTTTCGTGATTTTTTTTTATATTTACGACTTTTAAATACGACGGAAATGTTAAGTATTGTGGTTCAGTATTTTCTTTATACAGTAGATGTATTAAAAATCGCAACACGTCTTTTTACTTGAACTCTGATTACATAAAATATTCGTCAGTTTATGGCGTGTCTGTATCAGTCCTCGGAAATACAACGACCGATATTAAAGTGTTTTTGTAGTGTTTTGTTTGTGCATGTATTTTTTACGCTTGGTGTATACCGATGTAGAGTGTTAAGCCGGGATATATATATGGATGAGTTTTTTCATAGATCAAATTCAATGTTTCTTATAATTACTTTTTGTTATTCCAGTTCTTATTTTTCAGGGCTATGAAATAGTCATAAAGTAGTTCAACCCCGCAACACGTTAAATTACTGTCTCGAGTCATGACATCCGATACGCTCAGCAAACTAGGTTAGGGTGCTGGCCCTTCGATGTTCTGTTTTCAGTCAAGAGAGAGCTGTCTCAAGAAAAAATCTCTTCATATCTTTACTATCTTAAAGTTCCACAGCAGGAAAGTTTCCAAAGTAAATGAAATAAAGACATTCAGTCCAATGTGAGGAACTAATGGTTAGGCAAAAGCAAAGATCGGACCTCCTCTTCAAAGTTTCCCATAATAGCCCAACTGGTTATACTTTTTTTTATATCAATGAGCAAAAAGTGTTCATTTGCAAAGTTATGTTAACACAGATCGCCATTTTACCACAGAACGACCAAAATATATCATACATTGTAGACCTGAAACGGGGAAAAAATGCAAAACTAACGGTTGGCATACACAATTATATCGTTTCTAGAATTAAAAAAAAACCTCCCTCTGTAGAGCTACCTTCTCTCGCGAATATTAGCATAAATTTGAATGTGTAAATAATTAAAGTCAATTATATTAGCTATCAGTAAATATATTTAACTTGCTGAGATTACTACATGTATATATAAGTGTTAAAGTTGTCTTCGATTTTAGTGGTAGATTAATTACTTGGCCCGTATTTTACTTAAGGGGTCCCAACCCATATAACATAAGTCCAAACCAAAAAACCTAGCCCTATTTAACCTAGAACAACTCAAGTTATTTGATCGCCTAACCCAAGGATTTATAACTTAACATATATTGTATACCTCCTTGTCTAGCATAATAAAACCAAGGATTTGTATACAAATATTTGTATTCAAATCCTTGATATAACCTGAATATGCATGAAATATTTGCCACTGGACGTTAAGTAACCAACACTCAATCAATCAATTGATATAATCTAAATAAGGAATCAAACAATAAGTCAAAAACATACAAGAGGGTAGGAATGCCCTTTACCCTCAGGCGTCAAACGGTCATTTTCGGCTACCGTTAGCTTCAAATTGGTTAAAATTTTACCGTGAATCGTCAAAATATCCTAAATGTGATTCGTCAGAGGTCTCAAATAATTATCGTTACCGTTATTTTTGGACAAAATTTAGCGTGATTCGTCAAAGTCAGTCGATTTTTTTATCGTCTTAAAGAAAGTGTGCATTTTATGATATCGTCATGCACCAAAAATTACCGTTAACGTCATTTGGCAAGAATTTTTACCGTTATTCGTCATGAGGGTACCCCATTACGACCCTCATACAACGCATTACTCTTTTCTTAAATGTATATATATGTGTTATAGTTGTCTTAGATTTGGCCCTTCTTTTACTTAAGGGGTCCTAACCCATTCAAAGCTATTCCGACCACAGGGATTCGGTTAGCAGATATTTCCTGTCTATTTGTACTACTTTATTAACGTATAAAAATTGAACGTTGGCATCAATATTTCTTTTTTTTCATGAATAGCAATGTGCAGTTTACTATGCATATCCGTATACTGAACGCCAAAGAAATATTGATGCTAACGTTAAAAGCGTTAATAAAACAAGACAAATAGACTGGAAATACACCTTTTTTTTTAATCGATTAAAACTTTTTTTCATATGCTAACCGAGTCCCTGTGGTACCGACGAGTTTGCCAAACCTTACCCAAACCTATACTTAAAAATAACCAAGGATTTGTATACTAATAAATCCTTGATATATCAATCAATATAACCAGAGACATATAGATACAGTAGTGTATTATATGTCTCTGATATAACCTAAATAAGGAATAAAAATAAGCAATGCATTGCTTTTTACTAAAATCCAGTTGCATAGTTTTTTTGTTAACACAGATCAACACAGATTTTAGTTTATATGTGTTTTAAAGCAGAAAAAATTAAGTCAGTTAACAATATCAGACATTTCGTACTACCGTCCGTATTTCTATATCTGTTCCTGCTTCGGTTTGGTATTATATAATATATAATACATCCAAATCGAGGCTAGTAACAACATGGGAAATACCCTATGCTATTATTTCTTTTTAACTTCAGTTACCTGGTGGATTTGACCTCTTATAGCTAAGCAAATTAGAGAATATACGAAAAGTATTCGCAACTTTACAACCAACACGATTATAAACAACTGCACTAATTTATTCAATAATTTTCCCTACGTGTCACAACTAAAAAAACACATCGCCATCGGTCCTGGCTGTGGTCAGTGTGGTGGCATGGCTTTGGCGATAACGCGATACATAATAAAATTCTCTCGGAAAGTTCTCAATAAGAAGATGTCCCTCTCTTAAGTTTGTCTAGGTTTTGTCGATAAATTCTACCAGACACTTACGTGAGTGCCGTTTTCATAAGCCAAAAGAGTTTTCAAAAATTGGAAAACAGAAATACTCAAATAGTCGGAAATAATTCAAATTATCAATATTCACCATGAAATAGTCTGAAATCCGGAAAACAGTTAATTATCAACCATGTATTGCTTAAGATACTGAAGAAAGTAGCTAACCATATGAAATTTCTAAATATAAAATAGGCACTTCAAAAAGTAACAATAAAAAATTAAAATTTTTACAGTTGTACTTCCAAGACTAATTGCTGAAATGTATTTCCAACAGGGACCCAATTTCATGCCGCACAAATCCTAATACACAAGGAATTTTTAAATGCCATCTTATATTATTCTTATTTCTAGAAATAATAGCATCACATCCATAACAATAAGAAATTGATTTCAGATATATTTGTAGCATCACATTACCATGATTACCATAATGCTTTAAAGGCTCTGGGGTCAAAGCTGCTTATGGAAGTTTTTCATGATAAATATTTAGCACCTGATAAAAGACATATAAACCACACGGCCAAAAAATTAACTATCTGGCTAAATTTTGTATTAAATGCCCATCAATTTGAGATACGTATATGTTGCGGTTGTTTTCCTTAAAACCACTCAGTATACTCGAAAGGTTTGTTAATTTGGACTGCGATTTACCACAATCATTAAAGTTGATGAGACACCAGCAAGAGCACGAAGAGTGATTTTTATCTGAACCCCCATGTGCGTTCTGTGTAATTAAATATTTATTAAATAATGTTTTTTAGAATTTTGTACAGAAGAGATTTAAAGGAAATTATATGCAGTAAAAATTAAAGATCCTGTGAAAGGAGAATACAGGAAAACAATAAAAAAAAAAGATTACAGGAAAACATTGAAGAAGAAAACAGGAAACTCTAAAGGGGAAGCAAGGAGTTTCATCAAGATGAGGAAAATACGCTTATCCGATACAGACATTGAGTTCTTTGACATGGAGGTTTCCCCAACTGAATTTTTGTTTTTCACAAAACATAAAGATGCATTCAGGTGTATGTGGAAAGAACAGGTAAAAAATTAACTTGTTTTTTACATTTATTCATGCTCAGACACCAAATTCATCAAGGACTGTCTAACATTTGGTCATACAAACTGCAATGATTCATCTGACCGACACAAGAGAATAGGTTTAAAATCTGTTTACAACTGTAAAATAAAAATTCTGAAACCAGTTTTTGGTTTACATTGGCCATCATTGCCATGGCAGAGTACTCCTCCATAAATTTCAAACAGCATCCTGGTATTTAAAACAGGGATTTTTTTAATACCATCTTTGTTCTCAAAGTTATTCTCTAATGTTTGTGTGTTATCTATTCATGTATTTCTTGCATGAAGAGATTTTTCCCATATCATACTGCACGGAGTGTGATACAAAAAATAAGTGCTTAAATTTGATTGTCAATATTGACACAATATTACGACATTTCCATTAGCTATTTGTTAGGTCATTGATGACTTTCAAAGGTTAAGACGATGTACATTTCGTCCATGGTAACAAACATACACTGTATGTGATTTCTTCCATAATATATACAGAACACTCACACTTTTCACCTGAAAATCTTTTTGTCAAATTTCATTACATTCTGATGCATACAAAAAGTTTTAAAATGTCTGATGTTAAAGTTTGACGCCAGAACAGGACATATGATGTCATACTGGTATTTGCAAAAGACTAGATCAATGATTCACGTAATATTTTATTTAACCATGTTAACACAATGAGAGTGTTGACTGTAAGAGAAATAATTATATAACAACTCTTGATCATTTGATATTGTTTCATATCAACCATTTGTCAACTCTCATTATTAAATTTAAATAGTAATAGTAAACTAATAAGGCTCATTTATTATTAATATTTCTGTTTAACCATTGCATTTTGTTTTGCTTCTCAGATACATGTAGCATAATTAAATGAGATCCTACATGTACAAGTTATTCAAAAGTTTGTTTACATGTTGTCTAGTCATGCTAGTAGAGATACCAATATTGTTAAGCATGATAAGCATCATCATCATCATCTCAGGTTCTTATTGATATACAAAAAAGGATCCATGTACATCATTTTGTACATGTCTGACTGGAACGATTCATCTGACTTTGACTTCTTTTTCATCGATCATTTTTTTTTTCCCCCCTTATTGCCAAAAAGTTGATGCCAAAAGTGGTTATTGTCCATGTTTTGTGCAATCATAATATTTTAATTATATTTGCAGGGCAAACCATTTTGGACAAGATTTATTATATCCTTTAGAAGTTATACAGTCAAACATGGAGTAATAAAGCAAATGTCATTTGATTCCCCAAAGCTGAATGATCTTCTGGACCAAGGATTTATAAATATGCATGAACAATTTCTTGAAGGTATGATGTTCAATAAATATGTATCTACAAATTCATATTTTTAATTAATCGTGTAAGTGCAGCTCATCATGTGGTTTTGTTATTTAGATATCACCTTTCAAGGATTCATATCTGTTCCCAAATTAATTTCGGCTCCCTTAGAAATAAATAAGCAGTCAATCATGGTAAATTTGTTGTAAAAAGGAAAGAGCAACTGAAAAAAGAAGCCTGGCTTCATGATAACATGAAAAGGGCTTTGCTGCAGTAATCTATGATAGTGTTCAAATAAAGAGCACAGATAAAGTACCATGCCATTTATTTTATGATACAAATATAGTTTTCTGTAAAATGAAAATTTTTAGGAGGTTTTTTTCTCTCTCGCAAAAGTGGCAATAAGATAAAATTGCAAAACATTTCTGCATGTGCATGTGTATTTGATCTTGTTTAAGGAATATAAGAAAAATGCAAAAAGAAAACCTTGCAAACACTGACTTCACAGCTTATAGTTTTAATGTTGTATCTGTTCTTACTTTTTTATTAGGATCTGCAACATCAGCTAGAAGTTTTGTAGATGATATAGCAAGGCTAGCTCAAAATCATGACAAGTTTCCAAATCTTGATTCAAAGAATTTTGGTAAGAACGCATACCATAAATATTTTAAATTTTATTGATTTATTTTTTATTACTTTATATCTTATTGTATGAAATTTTTTTGTGGCATGTAATTAGAACATATAACTTTCAAGAAAATCATCAAGTCTGTTTCATTAAATTTTGTTTAACTGGTCTGTTGCTTTTTTTGTCCCTCCGTGCAACACGTTGCGGGGGACATAGAAAATCAGTGCAGATCAATTATTTTTAAAAGAGTTATGACCCTTGGACACATTAATTAAATGGAAAATTGCATCGTTAGCACTCTCATTTGTTCAATTCTTGACAGATTTTTATGAAACTTATATCATAGGTTAATATCAGCAATGTCTTGGACGAGTTTGAAAATCAGTGCTGATAATTTATTTTTAAAAGAGTTATGTGCCCCTTGGAAACATTAATTATATGGAAAATTGCATTGTTAGCGCTCTCATGTGTACAATTCTTGCCAGATTTTTTATGAATCTTATATCAAATGTTTATATGAGCAATGTTTTGGGCGAGTTAGAAAATCAGTGCCGATCAATTATTTTTATACGCCTGTTTACGGGACGTATTATGGTAACCGTTGACCGTCCATCTGTCCGTCCGTCCGTCGTCAACATGTCGGACATTAACTCAAAAACGCTTTTACCAATATGCATGAAACTTTGGTGAATTGTTTATATCTATTGACATGAGCTCCCTTTTGTTTTTTATAAATTTCGGATTTACCGTTTCCGAATTTTGGAGTTTTATTCATTAAAAAAGGGGGGATTTTCCAGTTTTCGGACAATAACTCAAAAACAATTTCACCAATTTGCAAGAAACTTTAATGAATTGTTTAATGCTATCGACATGAGCTCCCTTTTGATTTTTATAAATTTTAGACTATACTTTTCTGATTTATTGGGTTTTATTCGTTACAAAAAGGGGATTTTCCAGTTTTCGGACCATAACTCAAAAATGCTTTCAGCATTTTTCATGAAACTTTGGTAAATTGTTATCTATTGTTGAAAGCTCCCTTTTGATTTTTATAAATTTTAGATTTTATGTTTCCGAGTTACAAGATTTTATTCATAAAAAAAGGGGTGATTTTCAAGTTTTTGGACAATATCCTTAAAGTGCTTCGAGCAGTTTTCATTAAACTTTGATGACTGATTTATATCTATTAAGATAACCTCCCTTTTGTTTTTTTTTATAAATTTCTAATATAACATTGAGAAGTTATTGAACTTTATTTGTTTATAGTCTGACAACAGATTTACTAGTATTGCTCAACAGCACAGTTTATTGCACAACAGAAAGAAATCTTTAATTGAATATAAATTCAATTCATATAACCAATTTCAAGTTCTTTGACTACATTTATTCAGAAACCTATAATATGTCAAATATTTAATTACAATCCAAATTCAGACCTGTATCAAGCTTGAATATTGTGTCCATTTTTGCCCCAACTGTTCAGGGTTGGACCTCTGGGGGCGTATCCAGCTGCGCTCAGCGAAGCAGTTTATTAAAAGAGTTATGCCCATTGGATATATTGATTATATGGAAAATTGCATTGTTAGCGCTTTCATGTGTACAATTCTTGTCAGATTTTTTATGAATCTTATATGTTTATATGAGCAATGTTATGGGCGAGTTCGAAAATCAGTGCCAATCAATTATTTTTAAAAGAGTTATGCCCCTTGGATATATTGATTATATGGAAAATTGCATCGTTAGCGCTCAAATTTGTACAATTCTTGCCAGAATTTTATGAAACCTATATTATAGGTTAATATGAGCAATGTCTTGGACAAGTTCGAAAATCAGTGATTATTTTTATACGAGTCGTATATTGCTATCACGTCGTCAGCGTCGTCATCGTCCGAAGAACTTTGGTTTCAGGACAATAACTTAAGTTTTAAGTGTATGGATCTCTATGAAATTTAATCAAAAGGTTCAATACCACAAAAGGAAGGTTGGGATTGTTTTTGGCAGTGATGGTTCCAACTGTTTAGGAATTAGGGGCCAAAAAGGGGCCCAAAACAAGCATTTTTCTAGTCTCAGGACAATAACTTGTGTATAAGTATTTTGATTGCTCTGAAATTGTACCACAAGGTTCAATACTACAAGTAGAAGGTTGGGATTCATTTTGGGGGTAATTGCCCAAACCGTTGAGGAATTAGGGGCTAAAAAGGGTCTAAAACAAGCATTTTTCTACTTTTCCAATAATAACTTGTGTTTAAGTGTATCATTGTGTATTGATGTCTCTTAAATTCTACCACAATTTACAAAAAGAAAATTTCTTCTAACGTTATTTTTTGGGGGAATTTGGAAAGGAAAGGAGGGGGGGGGGGGGGGGGGGTGTAAAAAAAAAATTATCTACAAGATGTAAGAAATTAAAAAGAAAATTTAAAATATTATTTTTTTTGGAAAAGGGAGGGGGGTAAAAAAAAAATTGGGGGGGGGGGGTTTCATTTTTTTTTCCCTCAAGATTTAAGAAATTGTCAATTTTCAAAAGAAAAATTTGGGGTCACAATTTATTTTGCTAATTCTTTGTATATAGTCTGAAAACAGATTTACTAAGTATTACGCAACAGCACAGTGTATTGCACAAAAGCAAGAAATCTTCATTTGAATATATATATTCAAATCATATAACCAATTTCAAGTTCTTTGACTACATTTATTCTGTGTCAGAAACCTATAATGTGTCAAATGTGTAATAACAATCCAATTCAGACCTGTATCAAGCTTGAATATTGTGTCCATTTTTTACCAACTGTTCAGGGTTGGACCTCTGCGGTCGTATCCAGCTGCGCTCGGCGAAGCAGTTTATTTAAAAGAGTTATGCCCCATGGAAATATTAACTAAATGGAAAATTGCCTCATGAGCATTCTAATGTGTACAATTCTTGCCAATTTTTTATGAAATTTATATTATAGGTTTATAGCATTAATGTTTTTGACGAGTTTGAAAATCACTGCTGATCAATTGTTTTTAAAAGAGTTATGTCCCTTGGATATATTGATTATATGGAAAATTGCATTGTTAGCGCTCTCATGTGTACAGTTCTTGCCAGAACTTTATGAATCTTATACCATAGGTTTAAATCGGCAATGTCTTTTACACTTTCGAAAATAAGTGCTGATCAAATATTTTAACGAGTTATGCCCTTGGAAATATTGATTATAATGGAAATCGCATATTTATAATTTGATTTAAAGGGGAAAAAAAAGTGTTTTTTTTAGTTATTGCCCCTGTTCCTTGGATAGATAAAATATGTGCAACGTGGGGGACATTGGAACTCCGTTCTTTTATTAACATCAAAGTCAACAGTTCTTGCTCTAAAACACATGTTTCAGAAACTGTCTTGAGACTTGGAATTGGTCTACATTTATGAAAGAGATATATTTATCTTAAATTCAAAGTAAGACAGCACCCCAGAAATTTGCAAAAAAAGTGCTAAACTTTTAGGTGTATGTCAAATAGTTTAGTTTTTTGCCAACTAAAATTTTTAGGATATGATATATATTGCATTGGAATTTTGATGTTTAACTTCGGAAATGGACCACTGAAATTTTTTGTTAATTGATAACCAATGTTCATGTATAACATTATTGTACAATCAGTGATGGCTATTGCTATTTTGTGTAATTATTGTGTAGTGTTATTTTAAAGGTATTAAAGTTCACATTGTAAAATTTCTGAATTCAGATTCCAAGAACAAGGGTAAGACTTCCAAAGGGCTAAAAATTACATTGAAAAATATATAAACTAATGTGTGTAAATACAATATTGTAACCCTAAGTCTGCTTGAGGTCAAGTGAGGGTTACTATTTGGTTCCTTTTGATGTAATGGAAATAATATAAATTTTCCTAAAAACTAGAGAATAGAGAATAATGGGGGTGCTAAAGTATAAAGAATAGAGAAAAATGACCTAAAAAAGTAAAGAATACAGAAATGAAGGACCCACCACTCCAGATCCTCATGATACCTTACTAGGAATCTTTGTGTTACTTTTAATGGAGAGAGAATATCCATATATGAGTGCCAGATATGGAAAACTTTTAATTACGATATCTGCCATAAATACATAAAATATAAAGAAATTTATTGGGGAGGTGTTTGAAAAATTTTGTAAGTAATACACTGTCACAACTAGGGACTATATTTATAAACAAAAAGATTTTGACAACCACAACAGGATGAGGGCAAAAACTCCCCTTTTGTGAATCACTCCACTGGTCCATTGCATTAAATGGGACCATAGTGTAACCTTCAGGGGAGCACAAGCTAACTAAGGGGTTGCGTTATATTATCTAGTATGTGTGCAGTGGAAGTACAAAGTCTTGACCCAATCATGGTTGCACAGCTAACTTATAATTGTAGTTTTATGGCATAATGCATAGTGAAATTTAGTGAGAAAATCATTTAACTCGGTGGCTTCTATAAGCAAGCATGTGAAAAAGTCAATAATTATTCATTTTTATTTTTTTTAATCTAGAAATAATATTAACTAGAGTTTATATTGATGCAACGTCTTTTCCTGATAAACAGCTGTGAGCTATAGACATATTAAATTTATTGGAAAAAAAAGTTTTTAACTTCACACATTAAAAAAGATCTGTTGATAAGGCCTTTACAGGTTTGTTAAATTTTTAGAATATTAACAAAACATACAGATACATTTAGCTTTATCTTGTGTTTTTAAGAGAAGGATTATTTTGTACCATTTATAATGCACATGTAGTACAAAATTTGCAATTTTACTTTTTTTCTTTCAGCAAAAGACCCTTTTTACTGTAGAGAAACCAGGTAAGGGCTTTTCTAATAATATTTGTGTGAAGAGGAGTGGATAGCTCTTGAATTAAACTTTCATGGGTGACAATGATTATTGAAAATCTGCTTGCTAAATCTATTTTAATGTGTAGCATGTCCCAACCAAAACTTTAAAAAATAAAAAAAAAACTTTTACATTACAGAAACCAAAGTAGAAAAGGCATTTTAGATATATTTGTGTTGTAATAGTATACTAGAAAACATTGTTACCATGTATTGATGCATTATAAAATATTGTAATAGAAAAACATAGCATTTTTTATTGTACCATAAAGAGAATGAAAAAAAATGGTTTCTTTTAATGTCAAAGGTTAATTGATATAGAAATGTACCTATGGGCATTTTGTATGATATGATCTCTGTACTCACAAAATGTGTTTCTTCAGAAAAATTTTAAACTATAAAAACCTACAGGGTTGTGAAATAAAGGGACAAGCAAAACCATACAACTCTAGTGAGGGAGTTGCAACCATAGTTTTATCAGAATTACAAAATTTAATAAACTAAATATTTACTGATAAAATATTTCATTTTTTCAGGGAATTGTTTAGACAATTTTTTGGAAGTCCTGATCAGAAAGCTTCATATCTAAAGGTAAGTCTAAAAATATCGTTTTTTGTTGTACCTTTACAAAAAAAAAATGCTGTATATTGGTTTGTTTGTAAATAAGAATTCTTGTAGAAACATGTACATTGGAAAAACAAAGGATATGGGGTATCAATCCATGACACAAAATCAGTACATGCAAGGCAAAAAACACACAAAAAGCAAAGGAACAGTGCTTTTATTGTTGTACTTCATCTCAAAGTCACAGTGAGGCCTTCAACACGGAGCAAAAACACTCTCACCTCCCTGCAAGTTTAAGACGGCCCCTAGCACTGGCTTGAGCAGAATTCTTTTCAAAAATAATTTGGATAGACTTTGTAAGATGTAACACCACCAAATCGGGCCCATTGAAAAAAGAACATACTGGAAAGTAGTACAGATTTAAAACAAGATAGTTCCTATGCATAGGTGTTCATTGTATACCGTTAACTCTCGTTGTCTCGAACTTGGTTGACTCGAAATTTCGGATAAGTCGAAGTTTTCTCGTGGTCCCAAACTATGTTCCATATAAATGTATGTATTTGGACTCCTGATGAGTCGAAATAGGATGAGTCGAAATTTCGGTTGAGTCCAACTAAATTTACGATCCCAAGGTTAACAAAAGCATTCGAAATTCATTATTTATCTCGAACTTATACACATATGTCAAAACATGACCTCCGGGATTTAAATGGATTGATGAGTTAATTTGACAATACATGTGTAATTTAATTTCCAGTCACTGACCACTGTATTGATTTATGACATGCTATTTCCACGAGTGTTTACCGAAGATTATCTTTTATCACCTTGATAAATAATTAGTGATACATTGTTAAAGTTAAATTATTTTAAATGTTTACAAAAACAATTATTCGTGATTGACACTGATGAGCTTGGATGTGTATAAAGTGGGGATTAAGACTTCCTAAAAACTACTCAATCGGCTTCTTTAATCTTTTTGTATTTTCTTTTGAAAGGAAAGATTGAGAAAAAAAGAAAAGGAAAAGAAATCCTAATTTTCTATAATCTCTTGTATCCGAGAATAAACAACTTTGTCAACTTTAGAGGACTTAAATAACGCTAAGATCGATTGGAAATTACTCCCTCGGATAAAAGCAATAGGGAAAAAATTGTAACTGTTCAAAGAAATAATTAAATAAGTGAAAACAATGTTGTTATAATAATGAAAGACCATGACATGCGAATACATCGATCTGAGACCAGAGTATTGATCCCTTTCCCATATTCATCATGATTAATTTTAGCCTTACCAAGCTAAGCAAGAGTTGTGTCCCTTGGTCTGTCAAACTTCCGGTTTTCGTTTGAGTCGAACTACGTGTATCTCCAAATATTTTTCTGGTCCCGCTGACTTCGAGATAACAAGAGTCGACTGTATTTAAAATAAGACGATCATTAATTCAACATTATTTACTTCATTCCATTTGTTAAAATTTTACAATTTATACAAGAAATATAAAAGTGAATAAACACAGAAGCTGACTGCATTTATGGACTGATTATCCTAGTTGTAGATCACTTGAAATAATCAGCAGATCAAAGTGTTAATACAAGTAAAAAGAGACTTGCAAAAACTTTACTATATATTCTCATTGGATAGCCAATTGCAAGGCAACTTGCTTTTCAAATTTTATACACACATTTTACATCTTGAATTAAGTTACAAAATGTCCAAACTGCAGTTTGGTACTTGAAAATTCATAGAACCGTCAGTAGTGTTCAAGCTCAACCTGTTCAGATATTGATGGCCACATTGTTTGCACTGTGTACAGTGCCCTTGACTGTTCTGCCACTAGATCGTATAAAACATATAGTTTTCATTAGCTTGGTAATGCTTTTCTTAGTCTGGCTAATCAGAGGTTGTAACAGTGCATGATGTTAAGTGTGTCGTTTTTATGCGCCCGTTTACGGGACGTATTATGGTATACCATTGACCGTCCGTCGTCAACATGTCGGACATTAACTCAAAAACGCTTTAACCATGTTAACCAATATGCATGAAACTTTATTGAATTGTTTATATCTATTGACGTGAGCTCCCTTTCGTTTTTTTATAAATATGTTGGTATGAACCTCTATAATGCTCTTCAATATTTTTATAGGTTTATATTCTGAGTCCAGTTTACCTTCGATTTGGTGGTTCTGTCTGCCGCTGTTTAAAACGTTGGATGGATGCACCACCTATTGAATTTAATGATGAAAGTTATTGGACTGCTCCAGCTCCTGAATCAGATATCAAGAAAAAGGAAAGTAAAGTTATAATGTGTAGTAGCTGTTTAGATGAATGTGGGACACTTTATTTTCAAGAAAAACTTTGTGGAAAAAACGATGGACCCAAATTTATTGAAAGTTGGTCAAAGGGTGATCCTCGTTTTAATGACAAGAAAAATCCTTTGTACAACAAAATAGCCGATCCAGAAAGTGATTGGAGATCCAGCCTTTCTGTTGAAGATTTCCGTGATTTTGTTTACTATTCAAATAACTCTTTCGGTGAAAAATGTAGTGATTGTATAGCCCTTTCTGTTTGTCCTTTACATAATTCCCTGATGAACTCTGAAAATACTCCTGATAGTCCTGAAAAGAAAAAAAGAAAGCGTAAGAAAAAGAAGAAAGAAAAGGAGAAGGAAACTAATGCAAAAACTGAGGATGAGATAGAAAAGTTAGTTAATCATATTGAAGGTACTGCTCCTCTTAAAGTTATGCCAGAAAATACCATTGCTGGGGCAAAAGATAAAAGTCCAACTAAAGAAAACTCACCCCCGGCAGAAGAAAAAACTGACGATATGAAAGCAGAACAGCAATTAGCTAAGCGGGAAATATTTACAAAAAAGGCTAAGGTTTCGGATGATTTCAAGTATGGAATAATGCCGTATCAGGACAAATCTGGCGCTGATTTAAAACGTAGTGTTATTGGGGGATTTAAAGTCAAAAGAATTGAAGACGAACGAACCGGGGCTTGTGAAATTACAGTAACCATAACAACCATAAAGGTATGCCTAATTTTAAAGTTTAAATTTTGATGAAAATACCAAAATGAGTGCTGACATTTTGATATTACATTTGTACAGTAAAGATAATGTTTTGTATTTTGTTAGGGAATTTACTGTATGTAACAACTTAGCAATTGAAAAAATATTTCAATATTCATCTTTACACAGTTGTATGTGTGTTATCTGGTTTCCTTGCTTTAAAAAACTCTTATGTGACACTCTGCATTATCAAAAGCTAGTGCCACTTTAAACAAGTGTGTTATGAATCTTTTCCAAATTTGATGATTTAATTTGGAACAGCCTAAATTGGATTAATCACAAAATATGTAACTTTAAATAGTCATTGAAGATACTTTAAAGAGAAAGTAGCAAGATCTTCTTTTTATGAAACAGGAAGGGAATTTAGTTATGAGGCATTAATTAAATTTATCAGTGTTTTTCAAATAACACTTACAATGAAAAATGTTGTGATTGTATAGCACTTTCTATATGCTATTTGTCTTTAAAATAATACCATGAATAACTCATTTGTGTGACAGTTTTGTTCATTTTAATTCATTCAGAGGACTTCAGAAATAAGCATTATGATAACTGATGTTACCCTTTTAAGCTCAGCTGGCCCAAAGGACCAAGTGAGCTTTTCTCATCATTTGGTGTCTGTCGTCGTTGTCCTTAACTTTTACAATAATCTTCTCCTTTGAAACTACTGGACCAAATTTAACCAAACTAGGCCACAATCATCATTTGGGTATCTAGTTTAAAAAAGGTGTCTGATGACCCTGCTTCCCAACCAAGATGGCCGACATGGCTAAAATAGAACATATATGGTAAAATGCAAGTTTTGACTATTATTTTGAAACCGTTATAAATAGGGAAAATCTGACAAGCTCAAAAATGTTCAGAATGTTGAGCTCTACCAATTGTTCATTGACATTAAAACTGTTATGCGACTTCTTTTAGGAGTTATTGCACTTAAATGACAAATTTTACCATCATTTTTCATTTTTGCCTTAATCTTAAAAACTATAATAGATAGAGAGAAACTTTAATCTGCAAAAATAATCAGCAAGACAAGATCTACTTTTGAGACAATATGGAGGAAATTTGTTGACGACTTCTTATTGGAGTTATTAATATTGCACTTTAATGACGATTTTTACCAATTTTTTTTTTGTATTTTGCCTAAAATGATAAAAATTATAATAGATAAATAGAAAGTTAAGATAACAAAAATTATCAGCAAGGCAAGATCCACAAACAAGTCAAATTTTGCTGATATACATGTACATGTAGTTAGTAGACTGTCTGTCACTCTTCATAGGAGTGATTGCTCTTAAATGAGGATTTTTTTACCCTCTTTTATGTTTTGAGCAAAAACTAAAGAAGATAGAGAGAAACTAAACAGACCAAATGATCAGCAATACAAGATCAACAAAAAAAAAAATTTTGTCATGAATTTTTTTCTTGTCTACAATGTTGGAGAGTCCGTTGTTGATTATGCACATAGACCTAGGTGAGCGACACAGGCTCTTTACACATGCTTTATAGCCTCTAGTTTTAATATTGATATTCATTGTTAGTAAAAGAAATAGATGACCAGTAATATAATATTGTTCGTTTAGATAGTTGTTTACAATTTCAATTTTTTAAACAAGTTAACTACAAAATTTATGTTTCGATGTTAAAAATTGCAGGGTGAAAATGCTAAAGATCGTACACCAAAACTTCCTGGCCTGGAGAAAAATGAAGATCCACGAAGAATAAACCGATTTCCTTTAACAGCAGATCTGCTTCGAACAAAGATGATTGATCTCCCAAAGAAGATGGAATGGTATGAAGGTTGGAATTGGTGCGCTAGTGTTTTGAACTTTGATGCAGAAGAAAGAGACCTATGTGCAAATCCAACCAATTTTACAATAAAAGTCACCGGGAGAGAAGAAGAATGTGTTAAAAGAACTATGTTTAAATGTAGGTATAGATATATATGTCCATCAATATGTATATACTGTAGAAACATGGGGTTAAAATTTCGTGGTTTTGTTGTCGAGCCTTCGACTTTTGTCGAAAAAGCGAGACATAGCGACAAGGTTGGCAAAAAAGCGGTTAATACTAGTATTGACCATGCCGGCGGTAAATACCGGTAAATACCGGGAAATACTGGCAAATAATGGTCAATACTGGCAAATACTGGTCAATTGAAATTTTGATAGGACTTTACTATAAAAACTAGTCCCTACCACAGGTTAATTACTTGTTAAATGGATAGATATATATAGTCACAAGGCAGAAAGTCACTTATTTACTAAATTGTACTAGGACAAAAATTCACAATTAATTAGTTCATGAACATGGTTTAATGAAGATTTATCAAATATTAATTTAATCATACAACAGATATAGTCATTAACACCATGAAGTCAGTCACTTAAAAGAGACTATATAACATCTGGTTTGGTTAACAGTTATTTTGAAAGATGCAATTAAAAAATAAAAAAATATATATATATATGTTATATATTTATCAAAAAAAAACATTTCCTGAATTTAGAAGATTTTTATCATGCTGTTGAATAGTCAGGAATTAATTCATTGTTTAAAACAATCTTCAGAAAATCACTTTTATGACCTTTTTCCTGTTATGTCAACATTTATTAGGGGACAGTTGTTATAGTAATTAAACTTTTGACACCTGTTAGCCATATAATCATGATAATAGGTAATACTCTGATAATCTATATTGCTAGTCACTTGTAATTCTTTTTACCTGTAAAACTAAACCTTTTCAAGAAAAAAATATCTTGATCTATATATATATATACATTTTAAAATAACTGATATAGCAATTTTATATGTATACCAACAGTATGCAATATGGTTACCCCTAAGAACTAAAGTAGAAATTTTTAATGTTTTAATAGTTAATAACATACATGTGCCAATATCATTCATTTTTATAAACTGAATCATGCCAAAGGAATAAAGTTTTCCTTCATCAACCAATTTTTTACTAGTATTGATAGATAAGTCAGTCAAAAGAAGCATGAAAATTTCAATTGACCAGTATTTGCCAGTATTGACCACTTTGGGAGTATTGTCCGGGGCGGTAAATACCGGTAAATGCCACTGGTAAATACCGGGGGCGGTAAATACCGCCCAACCTTGCATAGCGATCCTACATTCCGTCAGCGTCGTCGTCGGCGGCGTCCACAAATATTCATTCTGTGGTTAAAGTTTTTGAAATTTTAATAACTTTCTTAAACTATCCTGGATTTCTATCAAACTTGGACAGAAGCTTGTTTATGATCATAAGATAATATTCAAATGTAAATTTTGTAAAAAAAAAATTCCATTTTTTTCGTATTTTACTTATAAATGGACTTAGTTTTTCTGCCAGGAAACATTACATTCACTCTGTGGTTAAAGTTTTTGAAATTTTAATAACTTTCTTAAACTATCCTGGATTTCTACCAAACTTGGAAAGAAGCATGTTTATGATCATAAGATAGTATCCAGAAGAAAATTTTGTAAAAAAAAAATTCCATTTTTTCTGTATTTTACTTATAAATGGACTTAGTTTTTCTGCCAGTTAACATTACATTCACTCTGTGGTTAAAGTTTTTAAAATTTTAACAGCTTTCTTAAACTATCCTGGATTTCTACCAAACTTGGAAAGAAGCATGATTATGATCATAAGATAGTATCCAGAAGTAAATTTTGTAAAAAAAAAATTCTATTTTTTCCGTATTTTACTTATAAATGGACTTAGTTTTTCTGCCAGTTAACATTACATACAGTCTGCAGTTTAAGTTTTTAAAACATTTATTAGATTCATAAACTATCCTGGATTTTTACCAAACTTGGACAGAAGCTACTTACAATCAAAAGATAGTATAGAGAGGAATATTTTTATTAATTTTTTTCCTCATTTTTGTTGAGCCTGCGACTAACAGCAAAAGTAGGCGAGACACTGGGTTCCGCGGAACCCTTATGAATTTTCTCCATATAAGATTTCATGGGGATTTAATTTCGTGGTTTCCAGTAAATGGAAGGGATAATGTATGTTGGTTAAATTTTCGTATATATTCTTTCCACGAAATAAACGCAATTAAATCCTCCACGAAAATTTCTGCTTTTACAGTATATTTTCACGTGAATAGTTAACATGGTTAACTTTGAATTTATAATTAATTGCTGATGTAGTTACAAAAGATGTTTGTGTAAAGATAGAGAGAGAAATTTGAGGATTAGGGAAGAAAGTTTTTGTTCATGTCCTACATATTGACCGTCTTAAAAGTTATGTTAACTAGCAGAACTATTAATGGTCCTTCGATGGTTTTACTGTAAACACACATAGTTTTGCTTGACCCCATTACCACATTGAAAGTGAAAAAAGACAGCAAGAATACTTGCATTGTAGAAATAAACTTTCACTATGAAAACTTGCAACCTTGAATTGATTTGAAGCTTTTTATCACTTTTAACTAGATTTTCCTAGTATGATTATACATTTGTTAGTGATTTTGACAGTACATAATTAGATTGTTATGTTTTAAAATCATAATTTAGCCTGTACATGTATGAATAGATGAAGGAAATAAATGTGGATAAGCAAAAATTCCATTGTGTAAATGATGTCCTCTTTTAAATGTGTCCTGTTCCTGATGTTCTGTGACCGCAGATTTCCTGTGTAAAATTATAATCTGTGTTTATGTCAGACTAATTTCTTTGTTACCATAGATACACCTTAGTTCCACATGTACAATTTAAATTTCAACTTAAAAAAAATGAAAGATCATTAAAAAAAACATACATAAAATTCTACAAGATAAATGTTTTATAATATGAATGGTTTTAAAATGTCTTATATCGATGTATATTGGATTTAAACATGTTAAATAAAGTGCATATTTATCGATGAAATGTAATTTAAGATAGATTTCGAAAGCAAAATTGATAATGAATATTCATTATCAGATATCTTTAAAAAAAAATGTGACTTTAAAATCTTTTCAGCATTGAACAAATATATTAAGCATATTTTTAAAAGAAGTTGCTTTATTATATATAAAGAAATATTAAAAAAGAGTTTTTTTTTCTTTTGCAGTGTTATTTTATGTTATTCAACGTAAGTGTCGACCTTGTCCTGGATGGAACATGGAAGATGATGATATTGTGGCCTGTATCCTGCCTGATGAATCAACTGAATTTGAGGGCATAACTATCTGTATTATTAGAGGATTTAGATTTGAAGAAAGACTTACTGATGAAGAAAAAGCCACTATGCAATCAGTATGTTCATGATTTTTCACTTTTCAGTGAAATATAATTTTATATGCATTTTTAAATTTCACAAACAAGTAATTAACCACCAGACACACAACACTATTGATGATAATTAGATTGATTGATTGTAAGTATGTAACTAGACACTAATCAGACTATATTGTCTTGGTCAGTTTTTACTGGTGGAGGAAGCTGGAGAGAACCAGAGGCCTTCAGCAGAAAAACTGCCAATTCGAGTCAGTTAAGATGGGAGACGAACACACTTGCCACGTGTGATATATAATGAAAAATATTTACAGATAATATATATATATGTTTAGATTAATTTTATATTTTGATTGTATATATTGCATTGGTATCAATTTCAGCCTCCAGAAGAATGCATTGCTAAACCTAAAAAAGTAATGATGACCTGGCAGCCATCAAAAGCTAAATCCATACTTAAGGTATGTAAAAAAGCTAAATCCATACTAAAGGTATGTAAAAAAGCTGAATCCATACTTAAGGTATGTAAAAAAGCTAAATCTATACTTAAGGAATGTAAAAAAGCTGAATCCATAATTAAGGTATGTAAAAAAGCTAAATCCATACTTAAGGTATGTAAAAAAGCTAAATCCATACTTAAGGTATGTAAAAAAGCTAAATCCATACTTAAGGTATGTAAAAAAGCTAAATCCATACTTAAGGAATGTAAATTTATGGTTTCCCTAAATAACAAACTTCAAAGAGATTGGTACCCCAGGAATATTAATAAACTCTACAGTATTGTATGTGCAAGTTCACTTAAAAGATGAATTACTTTATAAAAAAAATACTAGAGAAAAGTTGAAAATGAATTTGTTAAAGGTCACAGAAAACATAAGTGTGTATTTAGTTTGCATTTAGTTATTCCAAGAAATTTGAAGATGTTAATTTTGATAATTCATAAATTGCAGGCAACACCATCAAAAGGCAGAGCTGAATTAAAAGAGCTTTTATTAAATGTTGGATCGATAGTAAATGTGAGTTTGTTACGTAGCATATTGTTAAAATTTTATAGAATTAGCAGAGTAATGTTTTCATTCATTTTACAGCAGCATATATATTTTTGAATAATCTCAAAGACAATGAGGTTATATTAAGTTGGCTAGTAGCTAAGTGGACCATAAAATCAGTATTCGCTTTGTTTACTACAACATGTACCTATTGAATGTCAGAATAACAGTTTAATCCTTCGGAAAAAAATTTAAATATAGGTTATTGAATATCTTGATTTTTTGTTTATGCTCTTGACTCAATATATCCCATGTTGACTGACACAGAAATAAACTGATTTTAGTCAGACATATTTACTGTTGTCAAGGGCATTCATATTGTACCAATAATTTGTTTTTCTAAACTGGCACTTTTATGTAAATTCATAAAAATTTCTCCATAAGAAATAAAGAAATATTTGTCTTTTTCAGAGAGTTGATGAGATTCCTGATGATTGTTCTCCACAAAAGTAAGTAGACAAAAACTATACTTTGTGACACACACAAGTTTGATATAATCTGTTAGAGTTATTTCCCTTTGTACTATTGAAAAATGTAAAATGATAGTTGCCGGATAATAAAATTGATTTTAAAGCCAACATTATAGGATTTGAACCATAAACATCTGGTCAATATTCGGTTTTGTTTGGTTGATTCGTCTAACGAATATCTTAGAATGGGAAATATGGATGCTTACCTAGAGGAAGAGGCAGTGTTTAAACATACAAATAAAGTTTCATATTCAAGAATGTAGAAGAGCTGGATAATCCATATATGTTGTATAAACTAGCCTTATGTTCTGAGTGTATATCTGGTTTATGTTGGTTATCCATAAGAAATAAAAAAATATTTTATAATTCAGTCACTGCATGAAAAAAAAACATAATATCGCATGATTTTTCTAAATACTATAAATGATTGGTCAATCTTATTTGATATAAAGGATTAGAAGGTGTATATGTCTGTCATATAGGGTTCATCTGACCTTGATCTCAAAGACTTTCAGCATTAAATTCAATCACAATCAGTAAAGCCGGTTCAGATTGTGCATTCTTGTTCAAGTTTTGTTTGAAAAAAATTTTAAGAATAAGATACTGACCAATAAAGTTTATTAATATAAGTTGACAGCTTAGCTAAGAAAATGAAACCTAAATTGTTTTTTTTTTTACTTGATTTGAATTGTTTGTTAAAAGTAGATCAAGAAAAGGGAAGAAAAATGGCTAATTTAACGTGTGGAAATGAGTCTAAATGCACTTTTATTTTTTAAACAGGAGACGTCAACTTGAATTAAAAATACAAAAACAAATGACAGTTCTTAAAGCAAGGCCACCTGTAAGTAATGTATATTTTTGTTTGTCAGATATGTCAGATTACTTTTTGAATTGTCGTATCATCTTTATCAACTTCAACTTCCAACACATAAAAAAAAAATGAGGCAAAAATTTAAGCACTTTGGAACCAGATGAGTTCATGAGAAAAATAGAGTAATTAAACCATGTGTAAAAGAGAAATGTCCATGAATTTGCTATGTAGAAACATAAATAAAAAACATTTTGCATTGTGTTCATAACAATTGTTTTATAAATTTCAATGAGATTAAGATGCTTGAGAAAGATTTTTTTTTAAATACAGACATATTTTTAAAATCATTAGAAAGTTTCTATTAAGAACCAATATCAATACTGAGAGATAAATTACAGGTACAGTCAAACCTTAATTAAGCAGTCACTCTTGGAAAGTATCAAAAGTGACCACTCAAGAGAGGTGACCTTCTAAACGAGGTTACGAACTAATTTGATTCTGACATCGCCTGAGGCTGGAAATCGGGGCAAAGTGTTTTAGTGTTTTCAATCGGTCGATATATCTTTCTTGTGGCAGTGAAATAAAATAATGGCAGAATCCAGCACTGTAAATTTGAAGAAAACAATCGAAACATGTTTATATTCATGGTTAAATAAGTTGATGATACGGTTTTTAAAGGAAACGGAAAGGTGTAGAACACGAGGAATTCGCTAATTCACCTCCCAATCCGTTGCATATTGGTTCCGGATTTAATTTGGACTTCTATTCTGAACGCATATATTTTTCTTCATGAAAATTCAGTCAGTTAAAAGTATTAAAATGACCGTTGTTGAAAGTTGAAATGATGATTTTGTGCGAAAATTAGGTGACCGCTGACTGGGTTAAACAGGTGACCGCTGAAACAAGTTAAATTATACAGAGAAAACGTTTGGGAGGGTCTGAAAGTGACCGTTAGAGGCAGGTGACCGCTGAAATGAGGTGATCGTTAAGGCAGGTTTGACTGTTTTGAGATAAGAAGTTGTTAATATTTTTTTTTAAATATTGTTAAATGTACTGCTTGAAATTCAGTGATTATGTTTTTATCTTTTTCGATGTAACATTTATGATTCTAAAAAGATGAATTACAATATTTAATATTTTTATTACAGAAAAAGATAGATGAAGGACCTATGTATAAACAGATGAAACAAAATCCAGATACATTTGAATTATTTATTATGTCTGATGGTGATAGAGGTAGGTTATTTTGAAATTTTTGTACTTATGTCCCTTTGGAGTGTAAATTTTTATATAGAATTGCATTGTAAGCATTCTCAAGTGTACAATTCTTACCAGATATTTATGAAATTTATTTCAAAGGTTTATATCAGCAATGTCTTGGACAAGTAAAAAAATCGGTGCTGATAAACTTATCATGCCCCCGCTGTAGTGGAGGGGGCATTAAGTTTTACACTTGTCCGTCTGTACGTACGTTTTTGGTAGGGTCACTCTAACCGTTCTAGAGTTATGCACCTTTATAAATGGAAAAATTACAAAATTTTTAGTTTCCGTTCTCTAACTTAAGTTTGCCTCAACCAAATGTTATGAAACTTAACACAATGCTTATTACCTCAAAACACAGATCAAGGATGAATTTTGGTGGCGTCACTTTAACCATTCTAGAGTTATGCCCCTTTATAAATGGAAAAATTGCAAATTTTTTAGTTTCCGTTCTCTAACTTAAGTTTGCCTCAACCAAATTTTATGAAACTTATACACAATGCTTATTATCACAAAACACAGATCAAGATTGAATTTTGGTAGCGTCACTCTAACTGTTCTAGAGTTATACCCCTTCATAAATGGAAAAATTGCAAAATTTTTAGTTTCCGTTCTCTAACTTAAGTTTGCCTCAACCAAATTTTATGAAACATTTACACAATGCTTATTACCACAAAATAAAGATCAAGTTTGAATTTTGGTGGGGTCACTTTAACAATTCTCGAGTTATGCCTCTTTATAAATAGAAAAAAAATGCAAAATTTTTAGTTTCCGTTCTCTAACTTAAGTTGCCTCAACCAAATGTTATGAAACTTATACACAATTCTTTTTACCACAAAACACAGATCAAGTTGAATTTTGGTAGCGTCACTTTAATCATTATCGAGTTATGCCCCTTTATAAATCGAAACATTGCAAAATTTTTAGTTTTCATTTTGTAACTTAAGTTTGCCCCCACCAAACATTATGAAACCTATACACAATACTTATTACCTTAAAACTCAGACCACGAACAAATTTTGGTAGCGTCACTTTTATTGTTCTTGAGTTATGTCCCTTTATAATTTTGTATGCAAGCAGGGGCATCATCTGTGTCCATGGGGACACATTCTCCATTTATTTTAAATAGTTGTGCCCCTTGGAAATATTGATTATATAGAAAATTATATTGTTCACACTCTCACACTGACATTTCTAGTAGGATAGTCATGTGAAATTTATATCATAAGTTTATATCAGCAATATCTTGGTTGAGTTTGAAAATCAGTACTGATCTGTTATATTTACAGGAGTTATGTCTCTTTGAAATGTTATTTATAGAACATTGCATTATAAGCACCCTCACACTTACATTTCTTGTTGTATTTTTAGCTCACCTGGCCTGAAAGGCCAAGTGAGCTTTTCTCATCACTTGGCGTCCGTCGTCAACTGTTAACTTTTACTAAATCTTCTCCTCTGAAACTACTGGGCCAAATTTAACCAAACTTGGCCACAATCATCATTGGGGTATCTTGTTTAAAAAATGTGTCCGACTACCAGGCTGGCCAACCTAGATAGCCGCCATGGCTAAAAATAGAACATAGGGGTAAAATGTGGATTTTGGTTTATATCTCTGAAACCAAAGCATTTAGAGCAAATCTGACTTGGGTAAAATTGTAGATCAGGTCAAGATCTATCTGCCCTTAAATTTTTTGACAAATCAGACAACAGGTTGTTGGGTTGTTACCCTTGAATGGTAATGTTAAGGAAATTTGAAGGACGTTGGATAAGGACAGAAATTTTGCCTTGCAACAGGCCACCTACGGACCCCTCAAAGAGTTATAGCAAGGGTTCTTAACGTGCACTCTCTCTACACGAGGCATTGCATTTAATGTCCCCATTCTGAAAGGATGTTATATTTGAGGTTGCATAAGATATTATTTTCATTCAGGCTGCGTAGTGCCAACCATCTCTCATGATTTGTTCACTGTAGAATTTTTTTTTAATACATTTGTATTTTTTAAATAATTATGAATGTTTTCTTAAATCCGTTATTAATCATTTCAGTGGATGAATTAGAATCCATTGGTATGATGGCTGTAGATGTCGATATTGATGAAGAAAACATTGGCAATTTTTGTGAAGATTGTGGCCAAGCTTCACCAGCATGCATGTGTGTGGATCACACAGGAAAAAAGAAACAGTTGCCAGAATGTAATTGTGTCAACTGTCTGAAAGAGATATGTGTGGGTGCCTTGGCTGGAGATTTTGATCATATTCTTGCTAAAGATGGCATTATTAAAGAAAATGGAAAATATGTGGCTAAAACACCTGAGCAAATAGAAGCTGATTTACAGAATGAAAGAAAAAATGTTGAGAAAGTTCTTGGCAATTTTGAAAAACGAGTTGCCATTAAGCAACAAGCAGAAGGAACTGATAGAGTAATCACAAAGAAGGTTGCTCAGTCTATTCCTCAACCAAAAGTCATTAAAATTGACAAAAGTGCAAGTATTGAACAAACAATAGAGGAAATTAAAATTCAGACTACTATTTATCGAAATAAAACAAATCGTTCAGAGAAAGGAGGTAAAAAGACAAATATTGAGGTCAAACGTACTTTTTCAAGTAAAAAGAGGATAACCGAAAATAAACAAACTGGAAATAAGTCTCCAGAAAAGGAGGATAGTGATATAGTGTATGAAATTAGACGGGATAGGATCAAAGAATTAGAAATGGAACGGGCAGCTTTGCGAAAAATGGTCTTGGATGAAAAAGAGAAAGAAGAGGCTGAAAAGAGAGCTTCAAAAGACAAGCGAAGAAAGGAAATTGAATCAAACATAGAAAAGCTAGCTATTAAGGCTGAGGAGGACAAAAGTCCTCAGAAGAAAGATAATTTTCTGGCCAAAGGAGATAATAATAGTAAGAAAAATGAACTTGTCAGACTAGACAAAAAACCTGATGAAAGTAAGAAATGGGAGACAGATAAAGCTAAATCTGATCCTAAATCAGAGAAGCAGAAGATTGAAATCGAAATAAAAATACCACTCAAAGATTCTGAATTGCCATTTCAGAACAGTTTCGAATTGAATGAAAAATTTGTTAAAGAAAACCCAGATTTGTTGAAGCGCATACTAGAAGCACTTGATAATGCTGAAAATATACACGCTATTAATATGTTAACTGACGATGCAAAGGTTTGTGTTGGAAGTCTTAGGAGTCATAGCAACATAGGAGAAAAACTTATACAAGCAGGAGCTATAATGGGTCACGGAGTAATTGAACATGGGCCAATGATTCCGGATAAACCAAAAGAAAAAAAAAAGGTTCAGGCTTGTGATCACCGCCATCTTTGTAGAACATGTGAGCATGATATTCCATCTAAGGATATGGATAAGGAAAAAGATGACGAAGTAAAAGCAATTATTAGGAAGGGAACCAAAAGGGCAGAGTCTTCAACCATAGGAAAGCATAATTTGACAGCCGCTAAAAAAAATAATAAGCCTTCTTCAGAAACTCAGAAAAAGATGGAAACTAAACCATTACCGGTAAATATAAGTAAAGAGAATGGTAAGCTTTTTATATCTAAAAAAGTAACCCAGGTTGCATCATCGGATATAATAGAGACGGATACTAAATCTACAGATTCAGAAACTGGATACAGATCAAAACTAGGTATAACGCAGACAAAAACGGAATCATCAGCCTCAGAAAAAGAGAAGTCTTTTTCATCAAATACGAAAGAGACTGAAAAAACATTTAATATCATAAAACAGACATCTAAGACACTGGGTGAAAAACCCAATCTCATAGCTCAAATTATTGAAGAGGCAGAGGAGAAAATTGTCTTTGAAAAATATGATGGCATGAGAGCTGATATCATACTGACAGGGGAACCCCAGTGTCCTTGTCAAGTAAAGGCCAAGGAATTAATGAAAGCTAAGTTAAAGAAGAGAAATCAGATGCCGAAAGAACCAACTACGACCCTGAAGAAAGAACTGAGCCATAGACTGCATTGTCCAGAGCAGCTTTCAGTTAGAGAGGAAAAACCATCTCTGACCTCTGCTAGACCTCCTTGTTTGGCTAATGATCCTACAGTTGATATCAATGAAATTATAGAAGAGCAGCTCATTGATTCTTTTAACATAAAAAGATTAGTCAAAGTTGGTATGAAAATATCACAAAATGCAGTTACTCAGACAAATTCTGACAGCGATGGAGTGAAACCTTTAGGATTCAAAGAGAAAATAATCACACCAAAACCATGGACTGAAGAAAGAAGTAAATGTGTTATCAAAGAAGAATCGGATTTTCAGCGTTATTTAAAGTTTATGAAATACAAACAACAGAAAGGAACTGAAATAGGTGTCCAGGCTGGAGAGGGATTGACAGAAGAAAAGAATGAGGAAAAAGCAGCAAAGGATGAAAAAATGCTAGAGAAAGATCAGAAATCTGTGATGGTTGATGTTGCTGACACTGAAACAATTAAGAGAGAAGGGTCTCCAGAAAAAAATGGTATTAGAAAGTGTGCTAACTGTGACATTACTGAACCTGCTCCTAAGGCATACATGAAATGTCAAAAGTAAGATGTTAATTCTTGTATTACTGAGAAAAGTTAAAAGGAAGGTTTCAAGTAATTTAAATGATTTTTGGATGTAATTTTACTCCATGTACTTTAAATATATCTCTTCTGCATTTTGATAGTGATGACTAGTAACTTGTAAGTAATTTTCAGATTTGTTAGACACCTACCGACTGTTTAACAGATACTTTGAATTTCAAGTAATGGGTATGTTTAGCACATGCTACTCCTTGTTTTTGCATATTGAAAAGCTTAGTTTAAGTATGATTAAGAGTGTATGTTTTCTTCTTCTTACAAATTATTGAAACTTTTAAGAATAAATATTTTTAACCCCATAATATCAACAACAAAATGCATATGAGAATTGCTAACAAAATTGAAATATGAAAATGCTATGGTTTTGGTATTTCAATAAAATCTGCAAGTAAATTTCGTTTTCTGTAGATAGTGTATCAGTTATTAAGAGCAGACATTTTTTCTAAATTGCACAATGTATTTTTAAATTGAAAAATGGAAGTATTTTTATGTCTGCATTTATCAGAAATGAATAGAATTCGAAGTTGAATGTTTCTTTGGAAAAGGAGACAGACTATCAATATATTTCACTGAGTTGAAGTTTTAATTTAATACTTTATTTCTTTTTATCTATTTACAGATGCAAGTTGGAAGGTATTACTAATGCCAGATATTACTGTGGAAGAGAATGCCAAGGTAGTTATCTTATATTTTTCACAACACACTGATATCTAAATTTTACCATGACTTTTTTTTTGAGAGAAATATCAGATCTTTTTTTTATACCCTTTTAATACAACAATAGAATCTGAAGATGTATTAGCTACCAAATTTTTCAGTTGGTTCGCAATATAAAAAAAAATAATGAGTAATTTTTTTTATTGATTTTTCAATTTTTATCTAGTGCATAAATGTTTCATTTTACTAAAAAGAAAAAAAATTATCATTTTATGTGAACTTGCTTGAACTCATTAATCAGAAAAGTTAAAGTACAAAATCTAAATTATCATTGTATACAGTTTCTGCAAGGTACATTATTCATGTAAATGCATTGGTTTTTCTTTAATATAGAATTACTAGATCAATTCACAAAGATCTTCTTTTCAAAGATATTTGCCACTGGACGTTAAGAATCCAATAATCAATCAATCATTTCAAAGAAGAATTTTAACATGTTTAAAGGTTACATGTATTTCATTACAAGTATTGTAAATTCAGAAATTATTGCAAGGTTTTTATTATTGTGAATAATTCGACTGAGTGTGTATCGCAATAATAAGAACTCGCATTCTGATAGTTATATATGTAGGCTGATTTTCCTGAAATCACAATATTCATTATCACATTTTTGTCCATTTTTCAAAAATCTCAATAATAAATGCACGCAATTATTTCTGAATTTTCAGTTTTATTCAGTTGATTATTTTCCAACGCAAGATTGAACTAATATAGTTTCGTTTAACATGTATATTATAATTAATTTGTTTGGTCACTGACTTGCTGACATCTTCTTTTGATCTCATTTAATAGTTTTTATACTATGTTTATTTATATGTGATATGATCCCCAATGAGACAACTCGCCACCAGAGACCAAATGGCTTAGAAGTTATCATCTATAGGTCACCATACGACGTACAATGTATATATTCAAACATAAAACTAATAATATTCTTTTTTTCTTACAGTAAAAGATTGGAGCAAAAGACACAAAAAGGAACACAAAGAAAACTTGTTGATCTAAACTACAAGAATGTTTTTTTTCACTAATAATTTATACATATTTTGTAACTTTTTGAATGTGTAAAGATATTTTGTTTAACTTTTGAATAAAACATGTTTTGTTTTTTTTTTTTAAGAATTTTGTTTATTCCATATTAAGACTGAACAATAAATATTATTTGTAACCAATATTGTATTCTGCTGCTTAGATATGATGATTTTTTACTGATTATTATTGTTATAGATTACATTACACATTTGATGAAGAAGATTTTCTGTTGTTTAAGACCATATGACGATCTTTGCGAGATGTCTGTTTTTGTAATATTTGTAGTATGTTTCTTTTTCATTAATGTTTTTCCCCGTATATCTGTATTTATTCATGTTTTTGAATTTAACAAATTGTTCAACAGAATTAGAAAGTTTTATGCAAATATTTAATATTTCATGATAATTAACATATTGTGCCATAAGTTGGTTAGAAGTAACTTGATAATACATCAAAACTTATAGTTTTCACTCAATATTCAACATTTCTTTAAGTAAAATTGTAAGAAATCTTGAAATGAAGCTGTAGCTTGTTTTAGGTTTCTTTGCTTATCATCATTTTGTTTAATTTTCACTTTATATCTTGCTTATGAATAACCAATTGGGATCAGTATTTTAATTTATTAAATTGATATTGTGTATTGTTAAAATTTCTCATGAATCTGTAGGATCCATAAACCATTTCTGTCGATATGTCACATAATTAGGCCATGAAATTTTTAGGTTTTTTTGTCAACTTTATATGCTTTATATGAAAAAAAAAGCTGCTGACTTGAGTATTTATTTGCCAGTAAAAAATGAATATAAATCAGCATGTTTGAATATCCTGCAACTATCAATCAATTTGTTAGTGTGATGTGTGTTATAAACAGCATTATCAAGTTATTTAATAGTTGACGATCACTTTTAGAAATAGTTATAAAACAAAAAAGACAAAAGCAAAAAGAAGTACAAAAAATGTACTATGTGAAAGATATGGTGATTTTCAAGCTTTTAAAGTTTACCATTAAAATAGATATTGAAGGTTAATCAGTTAGCAATATGAAAATAAGAGACTAGTATCATAATCAAAAATGAGAGAAAAAATTATTGCAATTTTTTTTCAGAATAACGATCAGATAAGAATGGCTTTTTTATAATGCATTGCAATTGGCCTCAGATGTTTTTTGTTTTACATATCAAATACTGTTTGATATTTTCATTGTTTATTATCAGTTATATTAAAGTGTGTTGAGTTAAATATCCATGTTTATATTTTATTTTAACCAGATTTGCATATTTTTGATAACCTTTTTTCAAGTGTAGTTATTTGAGGTAAAAATTTGAATATGTATGGGTGTAAAAAGTTATATTTGAATTTTTATTTATTGATTTATTTAATTTCATGGTCTTATTGAAATGAGAAGTATAGTCCGTTTGACTTCTATAAATCTTCAAAAAATAATTCTTAAAAATTCATTTTTAAAATTAAAACATTTTTTTTCTCGATGTATGTTAATGTTTGATATATACGAACTCTGACTATGAATATCATAATTTTAGGCCAACAATCAAAAAAGTTACCCATTAGGTCTCTATGTTACTTCTATTTTTTTTTATATAAAATACTTGATGGAGTAAGTATGAATAGTGTAACAGCTTTCCATTCAAAACAAAAACATAAGACATGTGCTTTAAACCTGTTTCATTATACCATGTGACTTTTCTCATTTAAATAACGCTGACCAGCAAACAAACTTGGACTTCATTTAAGTTTTATGTCATGTGATTACTGAACTTATTGTATACATGATTTTGTATTTTTCATTGTTCAATTTCTATGAGTAACCTTAGTAATATTTTCCACTGGACATTACTAGTATAACATTTTTAAAAACTACATAGAAGTTTTATGCAAAATTCAGTTTAGAAATTTTATTAAAAAGTTCCCCTTTTCATCAGTAAAGGTCTTTATGGTTATAGTTTATCTAATTTTATTTTCATATTTTGAAAGTCATAAGCTGTGTTTTTTCAAGAAAAAAGTAAATATTAAATGTATTCTGTAAATACTTATTGGTTTATCTAATTTTATTTTCATATTTTGAAAGTCATAAGCTGTGTTTTTTCAAGAAAAAAGTAAATATTAAATGTATTCTGTAAATACTTATTGGTTAAAACTTTTTAGAGGCTCTCCATTTTGTTAATACTGTCATCATGCTTTAAGCATGAAAAGCTTGCTTATATTCTCTTATAAGATGTATATAAATATATAATCAAATTAAAGTAACAAATCTTGATTTGGTAAGGAATAAAAACGAAATAAAACATCTGATTATAATATTTTTCCCACAAATAACATCTTTGTAGATACATGCAAGTTCATTTATAAAATCATATAAAACCAGTTATAAAAAAACTTAGGTGATGGTCATTTTTCATGACATGTATAATGTCCTTTGATATTTAAATGAGTTAAGTCACATGGTATAATGAAACAGGTTTAAAACACATGTCTAATGTTTTTGTTTTGAATGGAAGGCTGTTACACTATTCATACTTACTCCATCAAGTATTTTATATAGAAAAAATAGAAGTAACATAGAGACCTAATGGGTAACTTTTTTGATTATTGGTCCAAAATTATGATATTCATAGTCAGAGTTCGTATATATCAAACATTAACATACATCGAGAAAAAAAATGTTTTATTTGTAAAAATGAATTTTTAAGAATTATTTTTTGAAGATTTATAGAAGTCAAACGGACTATACTTCTCATTTCAATTAGACCATTATATACTTATTCTGTATTCTGTATTATGATGCAGATTGATAGAGTGACTTGTGTGCAGGCACGCATGAGATGGATAATACCTTCCATTAAGGTTTTTTATAGATAAATGCAAAAATTTTCAACATCAAATAAAAAGAAGTTTGTTTGCCTTTCTAATTTTCCATTGTGTTCCCTCGATTTCATTTATATAAATAGCCATTAATATTGTATATATGTGCCTTTTTTTTTGTGCAAGGAGGAAAATTATAGATTATTTAAACAAGTAATAGAAACAAGGAGATATGCTAGTTGCCTATAATTGCTTACATTTGAACTTTGGTGGATAGTTGTCTCAAATAGCAATCATACCTCATCTCCTTATTTTTATATAGCCTCTGATTTTCTGTTGTTTTGCCATGATTACAAATTCACTTTATAAATCAAAACTGTAAAATATATACCTTGTATTAATTCCACATTGTTATATACATATATGTACTATAAAGGTACTGCGCTTGGAATTCTAATAGGAATGTCCGACAGATAACCAATGGGTTATCTGTTATTTGGTCATTGCTATCAATGCATAATAATAATGCATGATATTTCATATATTAGGCAGATTTATACTTTTCACATGTTAAGAAATAGTAGAAAGTGTTCTTAATACACAAGTTGTAGATATAAATGGAAATTATATAAACAGAAGTCAGAAGTTATACACTTTCATATACAAACATATTACAATGTTTTTTCTTATACTTTAATGTCTTTTACATATGTGGGATGTTGCTTATTGGAGGCAGTCAGAAAGGCTTGTGTCTTTCAGCAGAAGAAATGTACTGTTCTACCAAGTTTTTTGTACTGCTGAATGCTAATAATGCATTTCTATTTTTAACTTTATAAAGTTAATTTTCTGCATCAATCATTTGTCTTTTTTCGATAAACGATTATGAAGCATAATTTTGCTTGCCTTTTGAGCATTTTCTGTTGGAAGTATTTATTAAGATTTTAATAGATATAAATGGAAAGTTCAATCATTTTATTTGCTTTCGTTTGATTGATTAAAATAAACATATTCTATAAATTAAACTAGTCTTCTTTTAAATAGTTTTGGAAACATATTTTCAGATAGAGAAATATAAATTGACAATCTACAATGTGAGATATGTATAAAAGAAGATATATTACTGTATATGTCCATAGGTGTGTTGTTTACTACCATGGTGGTCTTTTGGTGCCATGCTGACCATTTGTGTGGATTTTTGTTGGTTAAATCCCTAGCTTGGCCCAACCAAATCTTTAAAATGGATATTTGATGCTTCTGCACATTCAACATTAAAAAGTAATAGCAGAATGTCAGAAAAATATGTCAGGCTAGGGTGACATAAAATCTTGCTTGCTTTTACCTTTTATGCTAGTACAACTGTATGACGACCCAAAGAGGGACTGGGATATAGAAATATGGTTAGCTGGATTACTCCTATCCGATAGAGAGACCTATTATAAAGGGGTGTCCAATTGGTTATGTGTGATGTATTAATACACAGGCATATAAATATAAGTCCCATGTTAGGAGAGAGCTACTCTTTTTGCATGTTAAATACCCTTGCTATAATAATTTGAGGGGTAATAGGTTGAATGTTGCAAGCCAAAGGAGTTGGTTCATGAAGGGTTAAAATTGGCACTTCTATTTTAATGTTTTTTTTTAATCCAGCCAAAATATCTTAAATTTCATATACATTTAGAAGTATAAGGTATATTAACTAATACAAATTACTTAATTTTTATAAGACCGCAAAAAATTTTTGTGGTCGTATATTGGTATGACGTTGGGGTCATTGTCGTTGTCGTCCGAAGACACATCATAAGGTTCAATACCACAAAAGGAAGGTTGGGATTGATTTTGGGGGTAATTGCCTTAAAATATTAGGAATTGGGGTCCAAAAAAGGGGCATAAAACAAGCATTTTTATACGGCCGCAAAAAAATTTTGCAGTCGTATATTGGTATGACGTTGGCGTCGTTGTCGTCCGAAGACACATTGGTTTTCGCACTCTAACTTTAATATTAGTGAATGGATCTCTATGAAATTTTACCATAAGGTTCAATACCACAAAAGGAAGGTTGGGATTGATTTTGGGGGTTATGGTACCAACAGTTAAGGAATTAGGGCCCAAAAGGGGCCAAAAATAAGCATTTTTGTAACTTCCAGACATACTTGTGTGTTAGTGTGTGGATCTCTGACATTGTACCACAAGGTTCCATATCACAAAGGGAATGCTGGGATTGATTTTGGGGGTAATTGCCTCAAAATTTTAGGAATTAGGGGCCAAAAAAGGGGCAAAAAAACAAGCATTTTTCTAGTTTCATGACAATAACTTGTGTTTAAGTGTATGGATCTTTCTGGAATTGTACTACAAGGTTCCATATCACAAAGGGAAAGCTGGAATTGAGTTTGGGGGTAATTGCCAAAACGTTAAGGAATAAGGGGCCAAAAATAAGCATTTTTCTAGTTTCCGGACAATAACTTGTGTTCAAGTGTATAGATCTCTCTGAAATTGTACTGCAAGGGACCATACCACAAAGGGAAGGCTGGGATTGATTTTGGGGGTAACTGCCTCAAAATTTTAGGAATTAGGGCCAAAAAACAAGCATTTTTCTAGTTTCAGGACAATAACTTGTGTGTAAGTGTATGGATCTTTATGAAATTGTTCTACAAGGTTCCATATCACAAAGGGAAAGCTGGGTTTGAGTTTGGGGGTAATTGCCTTAAACGATTAGGAATTTGGGGCCAAAAAGAGGCCAAAAAACAAGCATTTTTCTAGTTTTCAGACAAGAACTTGTGTTCAAGTGTATGGATCTCTATGAAATTGTACTGCAAGGTACCATACCACAAAGGGAAGGCTGGGATTGAGTTTGGGGGTGATGAATCATAAGGGGGTTCAAAAAATTTGGGGGGGGGATTTTTTTTTCCTTTTTTTTCTTTAAAAATTTTTATATTTTAAATTGGTTATTTCTGATTTATATATAAAAGCAAATAATAATGATATGGTATGAATAGGTAAATTAAATTTTTTTTAGTTCTTAGACCACATTCATTCTGTGTCAGAAACCTATGCTGTGTCAAATATTTAATCACAATCCAAATTCAGTGCTGTATCAAGCTTGAATGCTGTGTCTATACTTGCCCCAACTGTTATGGGTTCTGCGGTTGTATCAAGCTGCGCCCAGCAGAGCATTTTATTTATGCTCACATAATAAATTACAAAGAATTATCTCTTAAAAAAGGAAAACAACATTTTATTTCATTCATCCAAAGCTCTTTTCTGGATGTACCTTCATCAGAAACATTAAAAGAGTAATATTTGAAAGCAAGGGTGTATAAGAACCGCAACAGTTAAAGAGCTATATGACCTACAAGGACCTAAAAATAATAGTTAAATCCATTAAAGGTCAACTTTGCCTGAGGAAGTTACAACTTATTTTATACGCCCGTTTACGGGGCGTATTATGGTATATCGTTGACCCTCTGTCTGTCCGTCTGTCCATCCGTCGTCAACATGTCCGACATTAATTCAAAAACGCTTTAACCAATATGCATGAAACTTTGGTGAATTGTTAACATCTGTTGAAGTGAGCTCCCTTTCGTTTTTTATA